AACTGCCATTGGTTTTGACTTTTTAACCAGCCTACGTCTTTAATTGAACATAACAGTTTATATAGTTTAGAAATTAGGCCTTTTGACCCACCGTCTTGACAATTTAGAATCTTTTCAAATTCCATTAACGGGGACGTAAAAATTTGCTTATTCAAGTAGGTTTGTAACATATTACTTAATTGAAGATATCTAAACCATGGGATTTGTTCCCCAAGTTTTGTCTCCATTTCTGCTTTACTAAGTATCTTCCCTTTATGGATAAAGTCATTTAAGCAGCGAAAACCTACCGATTTCCATTTGGCGAACAACTGCTGTTCTGTTCCTGGCTGAAACCAGTGCTGGCCTGTGTACTCAGAAAAACGTGAAATTTCAGGAAGGATGTTGGACTTGTACATATCCCAAATTGCCAGGGAAGTTTTTAAGAAGTCATTTTGTAATGAACCAGTTTTTCTATATTTAACATCATTCCAGTATAATTCAGATAATGAAGGAGAGTTACACTCTACTTCTTGTATTTGCTGCCAATAAAGCTTGGTTTGTGATCTTAGTAGCCTAGTAATGTTAGAAAGAATAGTGGCATGATAATATAAAGATAAATCAAGGAAATCTAGTCCTCCCTTTTTTACATGTCTTCTCAAAGTACTAAATTTTATTCTGGGTTTTTTATATCCCCAAAAAAAATCAGTTAAATTCTTTTGCCATTTATTCAATGTTTTAAAATCTATTTGAATAGGTAATGCCCTGAACAAAAATAGAAATTTCGGTAATACAAAACTTTTAATTATGTTAAGTTTATCAGCCCAAGTAAAATTCTGTGTTTTCCATTGTTCAAATTTTTTTTGTGTGCTTTTTATCACTTCTAAAAAATTATATTTTAAGAGATCTTTCAGGTCATTAGGAATAAGGACTCCTAGACACCTCCAGCTTTCCATCGTCCATTTAAATGGAAATGTTGATTGCAGCTGAGATTGTAAATTACTGGCTATATATAAAGGGACTAATTTTGATTTGTTAATATTCACTTTTAAGCCTGTTATCATTTGCATTTCTATAAAGATTTTTTGTAGTGCTTCCAATGAGGAAGTCGGGTTGGATAAAAAAATTAAAAGATCATCGGCATATAGGCTAATGAGGTGTTCCTGGCCTCCAATGCTTATACCAGTAACATCTGGGCATAGCCTTATTGCTTCTGCCAGAGGCTCAATAGCCATGGCAAATAATAAGGGTGACAGGGGGCAACCCTGTCTTGTGCCTCTACTCATTTTAAAAGTTCTGCTTAGAGTGTTATCCACACGGATTGTAGCTGTAGGGTTATTATAAATAGAACTAATTGCATTTAAAAAAGATGTTCCAAAGCCCATGTGCACTAATAAATGCTTCAAATATTCTATACTAACACTATCAAAAGCTTTTTCCAGATCAACTGTAAATAAAATAGCCTCTTTCTTTTGGGTTTTACAGTGAGAGATAATATTAAGTGTTCTGTGTACATTATCCATCATAGATCGGTTAGGGATAAATCCCGTTTGATCAGGGTTTATATAATCAGAAATAATTTTTTGTAATCTGGTTGCTAAAATAGTAGACAAAATTTTGGAGTCACAATTTAAAAGTGCGATTGGCCTATAGGATTCAGGTTTACTTGGATCTTTATCTTCCTTAGGGATATTGGTAATTATAGCTTCACCCCAAGAGGGGGGCTTTTCACCAGTATTCAAAACCATATTACAAATTTTTTGTAGTGGGCCAGTTAATTTTTTAACAAAAATTTTATAAAATTCTGGGGTAAAACCATCTCTGCCTGGGGCAGTATTTGGTTTCAAGTGTTTAATAGCTTCTTGAATTTCTTTGTCTGTAATTTTCCGGTCTAGAAAAGATTTAT